AGCGCCTTGTTTCTCGGAGGGTTTCTCAGAGGTCTGTTGTTTGCCTCTGCCCAGCTACTTGGGTATGCCACCAGAAGGAACCCAGTGTTACCTGTTGAATAAAGGCGCTGGCCACCCAGTGAGCACCGAGCACGTAGTGTGGACTGTGAAGGCACTGGCAGTCTTCTCTGAGGAGTTCTCAGCATTTGTGTTTAGATCACAGTTTTGGGAAACACTCTAAAAGGGAACTCAGGGTTCCCACAAGGTGTTTCAGTGGGTAAAGTGACAACCTGAGTTCAATCCCTGGGACCCGCATGGAGGAAAGAGAACCCATTTCTGTAACCTGTCCTCTGACCAATACTGCCATCCCCCCACTTCCCGCTCCCCACAGAATAATCTTTTACAACTTTAAAAAATAATAGGGGAATTTAGTAGATGTGTCCATACAGGAAGAGGGCCTGAACGCTGGCCATCTGTTCCTTATGTGTTCTTAGAGACATGTCTCCCGGTCAGCTGGGTGGCAGGTGATAGCCAGTGGTGTCCCTGGACAGAGTGGAGGATGGAGCATGGTAAGAAGCCCAAACTGGTGATGTCCAACAAGTCAGATGTCGGGCTGGACTTACGCCAGTTTTCAGCTGGTTTCTCTGCACAGTGCCGTCAGTGTGACATTGAATTGCTACCCAATACCTACAATGAATTATTCTTAGGTTGTGAATGTAGGAATTAGAGTTGACAAATGTCTGCCATCTAACATTGTAGGAAATGTAGGTCTTAAAAATAATCCTTCATTTTACTTGCTTTTTCCAACCTCTTCTAGACTTACTATATTAGTTGTTCCTTAACAAAGACATTTGCTTCTTTTATGCAGGACTCAGATGATCTTATAGCCATGACTGACATGGACAACCCTCTGATATGAAGACTGTATCAAGATTTTTAAAAATTAATTAATTTTTGTTTCACATGTCATTTTTGTGTGCATGCCACAGTATGTATATGGAGATGAGAGGATAGATTGTGGGAGTCAGATCTCTTGGGTTGTCAAACTTGGCAGCAAGCAAATTTACTGGCTGGGCCATCTCGCCAGTCACCCCCTTTATTTTTTAAAATTAATTTAATGTGTATGTGTATCTGAGTATATACATGTACCTGTGTGTGTGCCCGAGTGTATATATGTACATGTATGTGTGTGCCTAACCTTCCTGGAACATTCAGACTAAACCCATGTTTGTTCTGAAATAACAGTTTAGTTGAGAAAAGTCCCCTTAAGGCAGGGGAGCAGGATGGAGAGTCAGGTCTAGAAGTCTTACACAAAGGTTAGTGCACAAGGGAAACCAGTTGACAAAGCTGAAGGCTGGAAACCAGAAGGCCAGCTAGAACAGGTTGGGGGTCACTGCAGAGGTGTCTGAAGGTGACCTGTGACTCATTCTAATATTAAAACACACACTCCCGGGTGACTAGAAATCCTGAGGTCTCTCAGCTGACAAGATTCAAGAAGGTAGGCATCACATACTGTCATGGACTTAGAGAAAGATGGAGGTTTTTGTAACAAGTCTCAGTCAACAGTCATTGAGTGTTAACAGTCATTGAGTGTCAACAGTCATTGAGTGTCAACAGCTATCAAGTGTTTGTCAATAGTCATCAAGTGTCTGTCAACAGCCATCAAGTGTCTGTCAACAGCCATCAGGTGTCAACAGTCATTGTCAACAGCCATCAAGTGTCTGTCAACAGCCATCAGGTGTCAACAGTCATTGTCAACAGCCATCAAGTGTCTGTCAATAGTCATCAAGTGTCTGTCAATAGTCATCAAGTGTCTGTCAATAGTCATCAGGTGTCTGTCAACAGCCATCAGGTGTCAACAGCCATCAAGTATCAACAGCCATCAAGTGTCAACAGTCACTGAGTGTCAACAGCCAACCAACTCCTGTGCTTCATCTCAACCAAGAGCTTGCCACATAACTGAGAGGCAGGAAGGGAAGTGTGAAAAGGCTATGGAGGTCAATAAGAAGCAGTCAGCTCTGCTGGGTATCAGGCAGCAGCATACGTTTTGCCTGCACGTACACTGATCCAAGCACCAACAAGGCACAGAGATAACAAGGCACAACTCACCACGCCCTAGGCCACCCTCGTCCCTCACCACCTGGTGTTAGACTCATAACCATGATGGAGGATTGCAAGTTCTATGCAATAATATATTTTTGTTTTGTTTCTTTTGTGTTTTTTTTTTCAAGACAGGGTTTCTCTGTGGCTTTGGGAGCTGTCCTCGAACTCACTCTGTAGACCAGGCTGGTCTCGAACTCACAGAGATCTGCCTGCCTCTGCCTCCTGAGTTCTGGGATTAAAGATGTGTGCCACCAATGCCTGGCACAAAAATATTTTTTGACGAAGAGAAGAAGTATGTGTATCCTCTCCATTACAAAGAAGAACGAAGGGCCCATGGTGCAGTGTATACAAGGTTGCCTTTCAGTCCCCTCCTGCAGAAATGAGGCTATGGAATGCAGCCTATGTGCGTGTGGCTCTTATCAGGGAACACATTCTCTCTTAGCAAAAGCATAGTGACATCAGCAGTGGCATGTGGGAAGAGATGGGGGTGGAGGGTTGGAAGAGGTTGGGGAAGCACAGGTGATGGTGTCCTGGGTGATGGTAAGCTCTGTGGGGTCACCACAAGGAGGTCATGTAGACCGTGAAGGGGATGGAGTGGCTGCCACACTCCCTACTCTCTGTCTGTGCCCATGTGGCTGGAGCAAGAGAGCTTTCTTCTCATTCCAAAAGCCCTCATGAAGGGAGCCGCCGCCCCTTCCCCTACCACAGGCCTTTGCAGATTCCAAACACTGAGCCTTGTTCTCCACCCTCAGGCCAGAGGCCCTCTCAGCAGAAAGACTCTGGGGCTGGAGACAAGGGAGTGTTAAAGAGTCTATCTGGCCATGTAGGGTAAACAAAGGACAAATTGGAAGATTAATAAAGAGGAAATATCTGCTGTTGGTATATATAGAGAAATGTACACTTTGCTAACCCTGCGGTGGGAGGGTGAATGGAGGTAGCATTTCAGGAAGGCAGTTTACACCGTGAACCACGTCCCTCCATGACTCCATCCCTAGGGTTGCATTCTGAGGACACAATGAAGGATTTGTGCAACGTTCTGCCTCTAAGGTCATGGACCGTGGCATTGTTACAAGATATGTACAACCAGGGACCACTTTGATTCGAGGCCTGGGGGACTGTAGACTACAGAGTTAGCACTGTCATTATGATGTGGCTGGAAGTGGGCTCTTAACAACACAGGGAGAGATTTACAGTATCGCTGTCAGAGAACAACGGGCTGCCAGGTAGCACCAAGATATCAGACATGTATGGGCGTGTAAGACGGGGCGTGTAAGACGGGGCATGTAAGATGGGGGTGTGTAAGATGGGGGTGTGTAGGACAGGGGCATGTAAGACGGGGGCGTGTAAGATGAGCATAGTATGCATAGTATGCGCCATGTTTCCTTTAATCTCCAGCTAATCTTCCAAGGGAAGTACCATTAACTTTAAAGTAATGGATCTGATCATTAGTCTGAGAAAAGCATGCTAAACACACAGTTTTCCTGGGGTTTCTAGACTGTTTACACACTCTAAACTGTATTTATTATACATACTTTTCCAGGTTGAGAATTCAACTTGCAGAGGCAGAGGAGATGACTCTGTTGGTACAGTGCCTCCTGGGCAAGCATGAAGGCCTGTGTTCTGACATTCAGAACCTGTGTAAAAACGCCAGGCATGGTGGCACTAATTTACATCCCAGATTTACGTCCAAGTGCAGGGTAGGAGAGAGAGGCAGACTCCCACTGCTTCCTGGCCAGCCATTTTAGCCTAATGTGTGAGCTCCAGGCAATGAGAAACTGTGCCTCCAAATGATTGGCAGGGGGAAGGGGTGCGGGGGCGGGGATGACGCACAGGTGCCTGCCACCAAGCCTGGCAAGAGTTCCATCCCTGTAACATACATGGCAGAAGGAGAGGAGTGACTCCTGAGAGTTATTCCTCTAACCCACACATGTGGGCCATGGCACACGTGTACACACATGCATGTGAGTATGTGAGTGTGCACACATGGGAACTGAACCCACGGCTTCCAGTTTAGAAGTACTATACCTGAACATACACTGAGGATATGTCTGGATAACTTAACTAACAACTTGTCCAAGAATCAGCTGAGTCAACATGGAGACCACGCCATGCTCATCACACTTAGCTCCAAGATATAACCCCTGGATGCCATATAACATTTTTTCTCTTTATTAATGTTATCAAGTTTGATCGCTTCATATGTATTATTTTATAACCCCAAAGAAATTAAGTATTTGGACTTAAAGCATCCATCCATGATTCTTTAGAGATTGTTCCTGTAACTGGCATTTAAAAGCTCCTTTGCCAAAGAGCACCAGTTATTCATTTGTGCCAAAACATGGTGAAAGTCTGACATCACTGCCTTCGTTGTGTGTTTCCTTACCTCTGGGCCAGGCTCTGCTTGCCTCTTTATTTTATCTTATTATTGTCATTTTCTGTTTTCTGCTTGCCTCTTAATGAGTGTCCACCTGAAAGTCCACAGTACCTACGCTCTCTCATTCCCCTTCCAGGCTGAAGTCACAGATAACGTTCTCTACAGCTGCAGTCTAGGATTCTAGGAAAAGCACGGCCTGCAGACACATCACCCATAGTGAGACCGCTTCCCATGCAGGAGCAAACACCTTATGGGAACCAGGCTGATCTCCTGAAGCAATGACAGCAGGAACCCTTCGGGATGGGTTTGATTTTGTGAGGACAGATAAAATGAGGCGATTGAGGTCCCTTCTCTCTCTCTAAAGTGGTCCAAGAGGAAGCAAGAGTTCATCCTCTGCCTGAAGGGTGCTCGGGCCCCCTCTGTACCTGCATTGTGCAGGTGGGTGGGTGTGGGGGTCACCTCTCCCTAGGTTCGGCAGCCCTGGGGAGGCCTGAGACCCATCCTCGGTGGGAGATCTGCAGGCACCCGTGGTCACCAGACTCACCTTCCACAGCAGCACAGCCAGCAGCAGGAAGATGAGGATTCCCACCAGCAAACTGATGGCGATGATCCACCCCACCACGTAGCCACGGGGCTCCAGGTTGTGCAAGGCCTCGAAGACCACCTAGAAGGCAACGCAGAAGTGAGACCGTGAGACCGAGGGCCACCTCTTGAAAGGGCCACAACCCTAATGACCCTGATTTCAAATATCACAAACTGAACAAAAGCATGGTGGAAAAAATGCCACGACATGTCACGTTCCAAAATTAGACGACGATCCTCGCCACCTTGCATTCTGGTTCTGCAATAAAGACTCAAGCAGTGAGACTTCCGAGTGCTCAACTCAATGTGCCACTTGGTAAGGGATCATTTGCTCAAGACGAGTTTTTTTCCCAATAGATCTCGGACCACACAAGGGCCAAGCCACTGTCTTGGGTCTCACAGCTGTGCCTAACCTGCTAAAAGAATTCATTCAAGATGTGGTGTCATTTCTAATCTGAGCCACATGTGGTTGGAGGCCCTATCTCGTCGAAGGACATTTGTTTATTTTTACTTATGGATGTGTGTGTATCTGTGTGTTTATGTATGCCATCCACATGCAGGTGTCCCCAGAGGCTAGACGAGGGTGTTGAATCCCCTGGAGCTGGAGTTATAAAAGGTTGTGAGCTGCCTCATGTGGGTACTGGGTATTTAACTTGGGTTCTCTTTAAGAGCAGAAGTGCTCTTAGCTGCTGAGTCATCTCTCTAGCCCCTGAGGCACATTGGTGTCCTAGAGTTGGTCTGTGTCGGCTCTCAAGAGCTAAGTGTGCATCAAGACGCTTTGGGATGACGGTTGGCCACAGATGGCAGTGGGACCATCACACACGAAAACAGCAATTCAGACAGGGCTCCCCTGCCCTCTTGCAGGAGAGTGGGGCCTTTACCATGCAATAGCTCACACTGACCACACTCCCTGGCTTATTTCTACTTCCACGGGTCAGAGGGGGTGTGGTTTGCAGAATTCAAGTGTCACTTGCACCCTCTTCTTTCAAAGGGAAAGCCAATCCGGCCATCTTCCGTTCCTTATGTCTGCTTCTGGAGCCAGGGGTGGCCAAGAGACATGTACTGGGGCAGAGGTCCATGGGAATAGTTACCCATGAGCCCGTCTGGCTCTTTGGTTTCACTTGTAGAACCTGAACCCAGAACTTGTCTTAAGGGAAATTCAGTGGAGCAGAAATGCTCCTTCCAATGTGGGGGACAAGCTAGAGAAAAGTGCCTAGAAAACCTGCAGGCCCTTTGGGGAATGGGGAGGTGTAGCCAACGGCCAGGGGATCTTAGGCAAAGTACTTGACCTTTCTGAGATTGGCTCTTTTTGCACCTGCGAATCAGAAGCCCCTGCAAGTCCTCCCTAGAGGTTCAGACAAAAGTCAGCCAAACCTTGTAGCAGACAAGTATCCTGAGCCAGGCTGTGAACTCAGTAGGGGGTTAGTTGTAAGGTCCAGGACGCTGAACTGTGTCCTCTTGGCAAAGCCACACTGGAGGTCTGGTTTTGTGGATACAGAGATGAGAGTAGCCACTACAATTTAGTCTGGAGAATTTTGTAAGAATGCCCTGTCACGTCCCGGGAATGTGGACCTTGTGTCTTTTCTTTTTTTTTCTCAGTAGTGTTGTTGGTCCTCTTGGACGAGAGCTCTGGGCCTTGGCAGATCAGTCTCTTCTGTCCTGACTGCAATAAATTCTGTGAGTGATCTGCACGCCTTGCAGTGTGGTAAGAAGCCACATCACAGATTTACAAACAAGCGGAAAGAAAATGAATGGACAAAAAAGGGAAGGGGATGCGTACAGAGCATGTAATATGGAGACATACTGATCACAACGGCACCACCCAGACCCAGTCTCTCGAAACAGCTCCTCCCCCACCCCACCCCCGTTTCCATGCCTGTCACCCCCCAGGTCAGGCCCAGCCTTCACAGGCATTGTGTCAGACGCCCCCCTGCCCTGAATTTGTTTTCTAAGAATGTGGGTCCTGACATGTCACTTCAGTCATCTCTGTGGACGGCTCCTCTTCACTCTGAACATCTAATTCAGGACACTGAGCTGTAACGGTCTGATTTCCTTCCTCCCCAACCCCTCCCAGGCCACAGATTCACATCCTAGCCAGTCTCATCCCCCCCCCCCGGGTTCTGTCTCTTTGCTTTTATTCCCTGGAATGCCCTTCCATCCTGGTTGTGTGACAACCACCATAATTGCTTGTCTTAAATATGCTCACACTGTTTGATCTATCAATTCTGTATTTGAAAAGTTGATCAAAGGCAGGAAATAAATAAGAAATACAGTAATACATGCACACAAAATAAATAAAATGCAATTTAAAAGATTAAGAGAACTGGAAGATTCTCACTGCAGAATTAGTCATGGAGATGCAGAACCAGACCACCTAAGTCTAGGGAGACCGGTTAACTAAATAATGGTTAACCACAAGACAGAACACAGAACCGGAACTATCCTAAATGTTTAAGGCTACGGCGACAGGTTAACTAATAATAATCACAAAACTGAACATCACAAGCTATTAAAAATGACAACTGCAGCCGGGCCCAGTGCTCGGGAGGCAGAGGCAGGCGGGTTTCTGTGAGTTCGAGGCCAGCCTGGTCTACAGAGCGAGTTCCAGGACAGCCTCCAAAATAATACAGAGAAATGCTGTCTTGAGAAACAAACAAAAAAAATGACAACTGCTCTATAATTGTATTTGTCTCTGTCAACTGCTCTATAAATTATATTTGTCTCTGTATACGTATATATGTGTAGTGTGTGTGTATGCGTAAAGGTGTGTGTTTATGTTTTGAGATAGGGTCTCACTCGATAGCCCAGGCTGGCCTGGAACTTACCATGCAGCTCAGCCTGGCCTTGAATTTACAGAAATCTGTGTCAGTCTCCTAAGTGTTAGGATTGCAGGTGTAAACTACTACACCTGGGCTGACGCGCGGCTTAAGCATTTTATCAATTTATTTTTAGCATATAGGCGTTTTGCCCGCGTGTATGTCTGGCATCGTCTATAAACTGGGTGTCCTTGCAGACCAGAGAGGGCATTGCATCCCTTGGAACTGGAGTTTCAGATGGTTGTGGGCTGCCAACTGGGTGCTGGGAATGAAACCAGTTCCCTTTAAAGAGAAGCCAACGATATCAACCACCGAACCATCTCTCCCTACTGCTGCATAATATTTTAACAAATTAAAAGCATGACCCTTGAACAAAGTGGAGAGACCCACTATTTAGGGAGTCAGCAGGAGTATAAAGTGGGCTCAGCAAAGATGTCGTGGGGATGGGGAAGTGTGTTGAAATCAGGTGAGCGAATCAGACTCAACTGGCCAGTGCTCCATTCAGGAAGGCATGCTTGGGGTTACAATTTTGTTCAGACAGAAATGACTTTCTTCCTCACTGATACACCTATAACTTTTCCCAGAGCAGGCCCCCAGTTCTTACTCCTGAAGGACAAGACTTTTTAAGGGGACATGGAAACCCTCAGAGGGCTAAGACTGTCCCCGCCTCTGGCTGGGGACTGAACAGAGGATACTGACCACACTAGGCAAGTGGTCTACCACAGGGCTCTACCCTTCATGCTTAATTCCCCTCCTGACTGCATGTCTGTGACTTGGGTGGAGACGAGGCCACAGGGGAAGAGTTCTACAATTAGCTGACCACTGAATCTGAATGCGGCATGCTCCGGAGGCCACCACAGGCGCAGGTTGCTTCTGAGGGAGAGTATCACTCTGACTGATTCTTGCTTGCCGCTTGGAAAGTCCAGCTCGTCTGCAACAGTGTGTGGACATATGCGCGTGCACATGTGTGTCTATCCAGATGGGGCTCTGGAAACCCTGAGGGATATAATTAATAACCAGGGAAAGAGTGTGGTGGACTGGACATCTTGCTCCTCTAAAACATTAGTCCCCATAACTGTGGTTTCCTTGGTGACCAAAGATTCTGGGGGGAGTCCCAGATATCCCACTCCTGATTCAACCAAAGCATATTTCTATGTGGAAACGGATTCTGTCCGTTAAATGGCAATGCTGATAATTGTGGCAGTGACTGGAAGCCACTGGTTCAGAGTCGGGTGGGGCTCCGTTTGCTTGGCTAACTTGCTTGGCCATTTCGTACATGGTGATGGCCGCTGCTAACCTCTTACTGCCCATGTGGATGTACCACACAAAGGGGCTTTGTAACAAGACAGCATCTGACTCACACCAGTAGTTCAGGACTGACATGCCCCACACTCCCTATCCTTAGAACTCACTGCTCACTTCAGTCTCCTTTACCAGTGTTACTAGTACCAGGTGAGAGCATTGACCTTCTAACCAGCTCCTCATTCCCACCCGTGTCCCTGTAACCCAGCACCCACACTAGTTTGCGACTTTCAACAATGTACGTCAGGGGTGGTCAGCTTGCTGTGAAGCCTGATGGCCCAAACTGGATCCCTGGAGCCCTCATGGTGGAAGGGGAGAGCCAACTCCCACACGTTGTCCTCTGACCTCTACATGCACACCACGGCATATGTGTGCCTATATATACACATGCACACATGTGCACACACACTGAGTAAATAAATAAAAGCAATAAAAACGTTAAAGAGGCCTGAAGAGATTGCTCAGTAGATCAAGAGAATTTGCCATTCCTCCAGAGGACCCGGGTTCAGTGCCCAGCTGCCACATGGCAACTTACATACAACTGTCTGCAACTTCAGTTCCAGAGGGTCCAACCCTCTCTTCTGACTACTCCATGTCAACCAGGCATGCAAGTGGTGCACATTAACATGTTCAGGCAAAACATGCATACACATCGCCTCAGGGTTTCCATTGCTGTGAAGAGACACCACGACCATGGCAACTCTTATAAAGGAAAACGTTTAATTTGAGCTGGCTTACAGTTTCAGAGGTTTAGTCCATTACTGTCATGGCAGCATGCAGGCAGACATAGTACTGGAGAAGGAGCTGAGAGTTCTACATCTTGACCCAAAGGCAACGGGAAGTGAACTGTATCTCACACTGGGCATAGCTTGAGCATAGGAGACATCAAAGCCTGCCCACCCCCACAGTGACACACGTCCTCCAACAAGGCCACACCTACTCCAACAAGGCCACACCTCCTAAT